TGTAGTCTGCTTCACGGCTTCAACTCTCTCTGCTAAAATGCTTACCGTTCGGCGCGTGCCTGCGCTCTGTGATATTGACTGTTTTTTCTTTGTGAAACAGGAGAAACGTATGAACAAGGCCACCGAGGTCATGATGCAATATGTGGAAAACCTGAAGAGGACGTATGAGAAGGACCACGCAGAGCTGATGGAGTTCAAGAAGCTGGCCAACCAGAATTCAAACCGCTGTTACGGAGGGTCCATAGACACAGGAGGTAAGACTGTGCCATTGAAAACATTCTGATGTTTGATAATGTAGGTTCCTTTTTTAGCATCGTTGCCGCTTTACCCCACCAACATATTTTTTAACCAGGAAACTGAATAGCAGCATGAAGGTAATGGTTTTGTGCTCATGTAATGCTGTATTCTGTGCGTCTCGCATGTCTCTATAAAGACGATGGAGTTCCACGGCCGTCAAGATCGATGTCCCTCACCCTGGGAAAGGTAAGTGCTTCACTTTTACTGTTTTTTAGTGATGAAATATTTGTCAATTAATCATCAGAAAATTACAACTTTTTAATGAATCATCTTCTACTAAGCACATCATTACATCTGATTGTCTGCTTCTCTCAGTTTCATATGGTTTCAAATTGAACACTTGCACTATTTTTTGGGGTGTTTCTGCTTGCTTGTTTCATGCTAACATGCTGATGCTAAGCAGTCATATGGTTTAGCCAATCACGACTAAAATGTTTTTTTTAAACTTCTTTTTTTTTGTTTCTGTGTTTTATATTTCATCAGGCCTTGTAGTTGTATTATTTAAAATCAACAAAGAAAACATCCCTCAATTCTCATATCCAGTCTTTACTACTGGCACGTGATGCCCGTCTCCTTTCACCCCCACCAGGCTCTGCCCAGACGCAGGGTGAGCGTAGCAGTGGTGCCTAAATTCAACCTCCTGAACATCCCAGGTCAGACCCCAGCCATAGCCGGCCCCGGCCCCGGCCCCTGCATGGGACCCGCAGCTGGCGCTGCTCTTCCTGTCCTGGTAGGTCGTTCTGTCCTATCCTGTCCTGTCCTGCTATGTCTTGTCCTGTCCTGTCAGGAGCTGATGGGAAGTTAGATATCAAGCATTTGAGGCGGTAACACCCAATCTCCCTGATGGACTAGTCTTTTGTACAATGTTTTTACTTTAAAATCATCCCTTGGTTATGAAATAAATATTTATAGGACATTTTTCAAGACAATCTGTTTTTGGAATGTAGGCCAGTTGTCTTTTATTGCAGTAATTTACTTGTTATTAATAATAAGTGCTGGTCCAATAATATCTATATTAATTGTCAGTGATAGTAACAAAACATATTCACTAAAGTACTGAACTACAAGTTGTTGTTCTTGTCTATTTGGGGTTTCTTGTGAGATATCTTTGAGTCTCCCTCAATAGGCATTTCCCCTCTAAACGTCTCTGGTGGTTTCTGTTTACTGTGTATTATTGTAATCATTTATTAAAATATTCAACACTCTCCTCTTTAGTGTGAAGCAAATGATGTGAAAGGGAATGCTCCCACAGAGGCAGCACAACCAGCCACAGAATGGTATGTCTTTAATGTTCTCCTGGTGTTTTCTTGCACACGTGTAAAAAACACATTAATGCATGCACAGTGCGTACACATACAATTGCTGAATTCCCAAGGTCACCACACAGTCCTGAAACAATGGGCGGAGCCCGAAACATTAACCTTATCAAAAAGCATTTTGTGCTGCAGTGAGACCTCTGCTTTGTGTGTGCATGACTCTCAGGATGTGTTTTACGGTGCAGCGAAAAGCCCCAGTGGGGTGACAGCGTAAAAAATAACCAAACCTAGCTGCAGATGATGAATAAGCTGCCCTGGGTCGTAATCTAAACATTTGTGCAAAGAGTTTGACAAAGTCCAGGCCCGAGGCTCGAATCATATCCTGGTTATACAGAGAGCCTGAGTGGAGCTCTCGAGTGTCTAGAGGTTCTGCAAGAAGAAAAGAATAGCAAAAACAAATGAGCAAAGTGCCGGCTCCATTCATTTTCTTCCCCCCTGCAATCATGTCTATAATGCACACCACCACTTCAGTGCAGCACGTTTGCTGTTAAAAAAAAAAGACCACGAAGGCCACGGTGTTGTGATGGAACCAAGATGTCCACTAATCCGTTTTGTAACCTCTGCTGTGATGGTGGTTCTGTCCGAGGCTGATTGTTCTTTCCCATCTGAAACAATGCAGTGGAAAGAGTGTGTCGGAGCAGGAAAGTGTGCCAGCCAAGTCTCCGGTTAACTTAGAAGAGATCAGAGCCGAGATCAGAGCCGAGCTCAAGACAAAGATCGAAGAGGAGTCGTATAATAAAGGGTGAGGCTGTCTCTCCTCGTCCTTAACTACACACAAACACACATTGTATACTGACATTGCCGTTTGTCATCACAAACCTCCACATGTATGAGCCTCATCTGGTATGTTGTTGTAATGTTAAGCATACAACTTTAAATATGTGACACATTGAATGTTACTGCCTGAGGATAGGATGTAAATATTAATACTGTATGACCTTCGATATTGCTGGTTAAATTGAACATTTATAAATGCAGCTTACAAGAGGGACTGAAGCAAAGCAAAGAACTCCAGAGGGAGAAGCCGGAAGAGGAAGACGCTGCAGGGAAATTGCTGGAATTAAAAGATAAGGATGAAGAGAGCGGAAAGAAGAGAAGAACAAGCAGGTAAACTGAACCTGTTACTTTAAAACAAATAATAAATTAACATATAAACAATAAATAAACTGTATTGATAGTTCCATTCAAAATGCACTAAAAACAAACTAAAAATGAACCTGAAACTCATCTACGTGATGGAAGTAAATCTCAGTAAGACCCGTCTCTATGTAGGACATCTCCAACTTTCAGCATTTATATGAATCTTACAACTTTTAAGATGTATTTTGTTATCGACTTCCAGAAAGTCGGATGTTCATTTGTCAGGATAAAAATCCTCCTCAGATTATTTGTGTTCTGTTGGTGAGTAAAGGGGCGGCATGGTGGTGTGGTGGTTAGCACTGTCGCCTCACAGCAAGAAGGTCCTGGGTTCTCTCCGGGTTCTCCGGCTCCTCCCACAGCCCATGCTCTAGGGATCGGGTTGATTGGTAACTCTAAACTCGCCGTAGGTGTGGGATGTGAGTGTGAATGGTTGTTTGTCTCTGTGTTAGCCATGCGATTGGCTGGCATCCAATCCAGGGTGAACCCCGTCTCTCACCAGAAAGCGGAGAAATGCAGCTTTTTGGATATTACGGTAATCAAGAAATCAGTAGCAGGAGAGCCTCCTGGTGTTGTAAATATTATAGTATTTTGGGATGGTTTTTCGCTGTCTTTTGGCCTTAGTTTCTTTCTATTAAAGTTAAGTCCGTCTGTCCAATCAGCACTTTAGGGCCACCGTACGTTGGGGATCAATCGACCTGTTGTAAAGACCCGCCCCTTGAACGCAGACTAAAGTCTATCATGATAGAAAAAAAGATTATATCTCTTTTGGCACCAAACCTGTTTTCCATGCTGAATCAGCCGTACATCCTCCATATGTCCCTCTAACTCATTTTGTAGATTGCAGTTTTTTATTTGGGAACGGTAGTTAGTGACAGTGTGGGCTCCGTGGAAGCTCTGACAGTTTGACCTAATAGACTTGGTGGTTTAACGAAAGTGACATTACACATACTCTTATTTTCATACTTGATACAAAAACCCCAATTTCCTGCCACTGACATTATCTTGATAAACATTCTAAATTATAGACACAGAGGCTTTTTATTGTGAGGGAATTTAATTATTATCAATTAATGGTTTAATATACAACAAAAAGAAAAAGCTGTATTCAAATTTGAAGGAGTAAACAGCCAAATTTCAAGACGTGGATCTCGTTGATGATTTTGGGATTTGGCTGAAGTAAATGTTTTAACTGCTGACGTATATGAGCAAATCCGATGTGTACTGAATGCTGTAATTAACTCCACAGGAGGATGCAGGAGGTCCTGGTTCTTCTTGGTCGGTTTTGTCCCAAGATTCCCTTGAGTCGACGAATTCTCTGGATCGCTTTGACACTGTTTGTAGTGATGTGTCTCGTTATCAGTATTTTTACATTCTTCAGTGACTACTACAAAAAACGAGAGGACACGTAAGCAGAGACCGACTTTTGTTCGAGGTGAGATAAAGATCTTTGGACTGATTGTAGAAGAACAACCAAAGAAAGTACAGAATAACTGAGCCAGTTGTCCTTTGTCTCTGCCAGTTTACCACGTGACAACAATCCGACCCACTTGAATCCATGACCCTGACTCTTGAGGGCTAAAGACGTTTTGGGAGGCTTAATGGATAATGTTGCTTTTGTTATAGTTAACAGTTCATTTGTATTAACTTAACATGACAAATTGACAAAAGAAATTCTGTTTAGGGACCAATTATATAGTGCAATGTAGTGCATAGTCTCTATGTATATATATCTATATATCTATATAGATATATAGATATATATAGGTGTTAAATGCTATAAAATTGTATATTTTTCAACATTCATGTTATAATTACAATTCATCAGGTCTAATAGTAAAGCCCCTTTGAGATTTCATATAATATTTAAAGATATACAATATAAAAGAATGTTCTGTTCATTTCTATAATGTGTATTTAAATGCTTTCAATTATAAGTGCAATCTTTTTTTGTGTTTGATTGATCATGTGTGTCCTATTGCCTTCAGAGCACTGAGAGATTTCTTCTACATGAGAGCACTGATTAGATCTTCTTTGCACATGTGTGCCACCCTTGGTTATTAATTATTTGTAAGTTTCAGGATCTCCCTGAAATAAAGGTGCCTTAAAAGATATGGCAGTCGTTTCTACTGAGATATATAATATGTTACCAAAGTTGATTGGTGCTATATTCTATCTTCTAACCTTGCAGTGGAAACAACTTATAAACACATCTTAACTCAAGTTTTTGGTGACTTTCCTGAGTAGTAAATAAAATAAATAAATGTAGATACTGATTGTAACATTATCCTGCAGGTAACATACTGGTATTAATATAACTGTTGGCACGAAAGCAGCATATTATTTTCTTGCTCACCAACATGTCTGTTCTCACTTTCCAACGCATCTCATAGGAGTAGTCCAGAGTGACCTTAAGAGAAGTTGAATATCTGTCCTTTCCAATAGTAATTCATTGTGCCGTCGTCGACGCCTCACATCTGAGTGTCATGTTGTTGTGGCAGTGATTGACCCAGGAGCAGAATTCCGACAGAACGGAAGTGGTTTTAAGAGTCTTTATTGTAAACAACCATATTCCACAGGGCAGCTGGCGGGGAATCCAGAGAGGTAGCGAGCCAGGCTGCGTGGAGGTTTTTCAGCCGTAACTTTAAGTTCCTCGTTTGGGGACGATCAGGTGCTCGATGAGTGCAACGTGTTACAGCTGCGCCGGTCAATTGGGACAGGTCGGACCATGACACTGACAAAAACACTGCTGCGCGTTCGTCATTTCCTTGCCACCAGGTCGTGTGGATGTGTTTTTTGTGGAAGTGGGATGTAGTTGTGTGCCAAAGGCTCATCGGAGGATACCAGACATCATAAGCATGTTCGTGATGGAGGAATTTCCCGTGGGAGGAAGTCATTTGGACGTAGTGCCCGGTGTCAGATGTCAGCAATAGTGCATCACTTGAGGACATTCCTCTCGTATTACATACTGTGTTTTTCACAAGAGGAATCCAGTTTAATTCTTCACTTAATCAGGAAGCATGAATTAGCCACCTTTTACTGAGCATTCCCGTAGCTTTATCTCCTGTTGACATATTTTTTTATCTGCTTGTCTCCTGGGCCCTGCTCCGAGAACATATGATGGCTCTTGATCTGGCCCGGGAGCAGCACTTCCCTCTTCCTTTTCCGTTACTTTCTGGTAATGACCGAGTCCATACGCCCCAGTGGAAAAGGATCAACCCTATTTAACCCTGTCATTTGGCTCGCAGTCACATAAACTGTGCATTACTTGCCATCGCTCTGCTTTTATCTGACTGGACTCTGACCAGAAATAAATATGATTTGGTTTTGCATCACTTCGCTGTTGTCTTTCACTCAAGTCACCTCTGATCAAACTATTGACACGAGCCGCATCAGAGGTAAGTGATTCCAGCAGTTTTGATTTTTATTCATTTGTTAAATTATTATTCTGTTCCAAATATAAGGATTCCTCCACTGGAAACTTTCTGAATTGGAAAATGTTTTGTATGCCTTTTCCAGTTTTCCCAGCAGAAAACCAAAGTATTGCTGGAGTGTTCCAGGTTAGTACGTTAAATGACCGCAACCAGCCTGAGTATTCCTTCAACGCCTCTGAAGCTCGGTGGCTGTGCTCGTCCCTCGGAGTGAACATTGCCTCAAAAGCTCAACTACAGGAAGCTCTCACTAGAGGTTTAGAAACGTGCAGGTAAGACCAGAGAAGAAATGATCCTCAGTCACCTCAGTAGAATTTCATGTAATGTTCCTGACGTTGTCGTATTTGGATTTTATTCAGGTATGGATGGATTGATGAACATTATGTGGTCATTCCTCGCATCAAAGCCCTTAATAATTGTGGCCAAAATCAGAAAGGCTTGGTCCCATGGCGAGCACCTGTTACAAAAAAATTTGATGTGTTTTGCTTCAATGAATCCGGTAGGACCTTTGTATATACATTTTATTTATTATCAAGTGACAAATGTTAATGTGTATATATAATGCAAGCTTTTCTTAACAATGCACAAGACTTGTTTTGTAAATGAACCATATTCATCGGAAGGTATTATCTCAGACTAATGGGAGTGAATTGTGCTGACATATGCTTATGCTCATGCACAGATGCTGCAACACAATTGAAGGATGCAACAACCGATAGCCCTTTGAACAGGAGCGATTACTCAAGACAAACTCAGTTTCCTCCTAAAACAGCAAATCCCACATGGAGACCACAATCTGCATTGTCTACCCCCTTGACTCCTGAAACTATCCACAGTGAGGCACAACCAGCAGGAGGTATAAGGGAATTACTGCTTTGGAAGAACATTTTGTCCAACTCATACTGCAACAAAAATTCTGTATAATGAGTGAAAAAATATAAGTAAAAATCTAGTAAATAAGTATTTATAGGTTTCCTATGACTAATATATTTTCTTGTACACGTTTTTTCCAGTAAAGGCTATACTCTTCACCGTGACTTTTGCCCTTCTCCTTGCTGCAATAATCATCCTTGCATACATGAAAATGTGAGTGTTTTTTTTTTCACATTGATAATATTTCATGAAGTTAAATGGTGTTGTATGAAGTACGGTACACATATTGATTAGTTAATCAGTGGGCTCTGTACACAACAGCACTGAGGAGCTCTGGATAAACTGATTACACAACCTGTTTAGATACCGCTCATCAAAACCACGTTTGTCCTTCTTTTTTTTTATTACAACCAGAAGAGCATTATATGATTTGATTCTTTCTCTCTGTGAAAAGGAGGAGGAGTTGTGTTCTGAGCTCTGACATGAAGCCGCAGCAAGAAAACATCCAGACAGAAGAGTGGACATGTGTGAACAATATCAAGGAAACCAAGACAGCCGCCCAGGAAGATGAGAAGATAGAAGTGGAAGACAATGCAAGTTAAACTACTTTCCCGCCCCCATGGACAACAACTCAGTAATATTATTTTTAAAGACAAAACGTATCGATTGTATTGTTGGAAATAAAATGTAACAGAATGACCATAAAGATCTTTTACTTTTCTTAATGTTATAAGTGTATCTTAGTGTTCACATTCATCTGATTTTGTTACCTGGTGCAGTTTAGCCACTAGAGGGCCATGTTTGCCTTACAATGCACATTAATAAAACCAAAGACCATTCATGCTTTTAACACGTCTGCTGCGACAGATGATGAGCATAAGCGACACGTACACATCATTTCATGTCATTACATACTTCTGTGTTTCCCAATATATTGATGTCTTCTCTTCCAAAACATGCCACAGTATTGAAGGGAGAGACAGCAGAAAGGTGCCGGGCGTCATCTGTTATCAGAGCCTCAAACATTGTGTAACACTCTCTCAACTACAAGTGATCTGGTGTCACAAGTTATTTAATGTACTTCCCACGTCTGGCTTTCGACAGTTTTTGTCTAAACCTTTGAGAAACAAAGTGCCGTCACTCATCCAAAGCATGCGCTTTCACTTTACCAAACCATCACCTCGTGACAGACGTTGCTTTTTTACTGACACAATATTGTGTTTTTTCTTTTTATCATCGTTGGCACAAAAAATAAGCCTGCTTGTCTAATGCAAGGTCTAGATCATTCATACTGGCAACTCATAGCTTCAGACCTCACTGCATCGACTATGAAGCTGAGCTCATTGCACAGTGTCTCGTGTCTGTAGGCCATGCGGATCTGGGCGACGTTGGTCCGGCGGATATCATTCCCTTCGGGTCCGTCTTTCAGATAGTTCACTCCCAAGAAGTGCCTCTTGTTCTGTAAACAAACAACAAAAAAAAGTACTGGGAAACCGGTGGGATTAATGTTCAATATGAGGAAAGACGGCAGAGAAACCGGTGTCACTACCTCATCCGACAGGCCGCTCTGCAGCACACTGTTTCTGGCTATTTCACACACATCACAGGTGCTGAGCTTCCACAGCTGAGCTGCGATAGCGTACTCTTCCATGAGTGGTTCCTACAAGCAGGACAAAACAACGGAGAATTATTTACACTGCAGTAGTATGTTTGTAGAGACATGGACCAATGTTCTGGCCTAGTGACGAGTGAATCGTGGCTTTCCGTTTACCTTGGTGTAGTGGAACTGCATGGGATCATCTGTGGACAGGGACACACACAGACCTTTGTGCAGGAACTCTAGGAGAGGATTCTTGGAGTATTCCAGAAACAGGCTGTTGTTGCTGAGTGGAGACATTGCGATTGGAATCTGGGCCAAGTAGTACAGGTACTGCAGGACGGGGCTCTGAGGGAAGTTTAAAAAAATACAACTCTCTCGGTCAGATAAACAATAACCATAAGAAAAAAAATACTGAATGGACCACATGCTCTGCACAAAGCTGGAAATAAGCTCTGTTACGGTTGAATGTGTGTGGTGCGCATGGACTCACAAATAATGAGTTGTTAAATATAATAGCTGTGAGTTCCGATACATTTAATGATGAATTCATGAATTCAAAAGTTTAATTGTTGATTATGTTGTTATCAAAACTCCTTTGTGTTTTCACTTTGTGTCTTCAGTTTCAATTTACTATTAAAAAAAAGCATAGAGGCATGTCATACTACTGATCTTTGCAGGTTAGCCCACATAGTACAAGCCCCATATTATGAGCTACCTTTTTCAGGTTGAGTCCGTGGGAAATGTTGTCTGATGTGAGAAAGCCAGAGACCAAGTGAGTGATGGATCCAGCTTCTCCACAATGGGGACGTAACTGGAAGGTGCTCAGTCCGCGCTCTCTACAGGACACAAAAGGACCATCAATAAACTGTGTGTCGGCGAATCATGGCAGAGTCTACATCTGCTCATCCTTGTATTCATCATGAAGACCATATTTATAGACATCAGCTGCATAGCCTTTCGAGAGGTCAAAGTTACTCTCACTAGGTGTGAGTTCAGTAGTTCAGTACTTGTCAGAGAAAGTATCAATGAATAGCTTCTTCCCTTTTAAAGCTTTAGTCAACTGTCCACTCAGTGCTGGAACCACGGCACCAGTTTAGGTCCATTTCACATTTTCCTCCATCAATCTTACAGCAAAGCAATTTCCCTTAATGAGGAAGTATGTTTTGAAGAGGCAAGAAGGCATTGGGACTTACTTTCTGAGGTTGTTGAGGACCATGATGTTTGCATACATGTGGAAGATGTAGTAGCTGTATGGAGGGTTCTCATCTGCAGTCCACTGTTCTGGCTTTGGGCTCCTGAAGGAGAACATGTGATCGCTGTGTTTGGACTCATCGTCTACACTGTCGAACCCTGACACCTGCACAAAAAATATCACTTTACTACTGGGATGGTTTCATGAAGCCTGGTAGGCACCAAAGGGAAATTTGTTTCAATATTCACGTCACAAATATTAGTTTGTTTGTTCTATTCTATGAATTGCTTAATTTACCTCAAATTACTTCATTTATTTCTTCAAGAGAAGACATTACATTGACCCTGGTTTAGCAGAATGGTTTTAACAAACTGTAATTTTTAAATTATATTTTTGATTAATACTTATTAAAACACACATCATTATATAATAAGTTATATACATAAGTTGTTTATATATATTATATAAACAACTTATCTGTGTTCATATACTGCGCATACAACTTACATGGGGGGTTAGCAGTGATTATGTTAGAGTATAAATAATAAAAAACATAAATCAAACATGATATGAATTAGAAACACGAGCCAATCCTTGGTGAACGCAAGTTGATCATTTCGAGGCTCTTGATCATTTCGAGAACTCTGTTGTACAATATCTTACGTATTTTAGGAAAACATGAATTTCTTTGTGGTTCTGTGGGTTAACAGACGCCTCAAATAGAGGAAGGAATATGTTCTCCAGCATCTTGGCAAAATTGGGTACCAGTTTCTTTGCCTTGAAAATATCACTGAAACACATCAAAACAAATAAAAACGTATATTTTTAGGAAATGTAATACTTGCCATTTTCAGAATATCTATTCAATTAGAAGCATGAGGATTTATTAAGCCTGTAGCACTCACTATATTCTGGGAACTTGAATGATCCACCTCATGTTTGGAGAGTGTACTTTGTGCTGAATAAACCACTTTGACAGACTGTGCCACTCCCCTGGAGAGCGTCCATAGATGGACAGGCGAGGCTCTGCGTGCTGGTACTTACTCTCCTCCAGGTCATGGGACACTTCCTATTAAAGGAGAGAAGTAGTGTACTAAGCCGTCTCTGCAAAGGTTCAGACGTACAGTGATTACTCGACACAATACCTTGATGATGCGAGCAAAATACTCTCCGTCCAGGAGGTTGTCCGTTTTCAGGAATATTTCTCGAAGTTCGCTAGCTCCGACTGGATTGTACTTTGAGTTGAACTTATCGAAACGGTGGAAGGTATGTCTGCCCTGAAAAGTTGATAAATGAAAAGCAAAATCAGGAAGTTAGAATGATTAGTAATTTAAAAGTTCTAATTAATACTGGTATTTTCCTGTACTGGAGATGGAGGTGGCACAAATTGGCAGAGAGAAGGAATTGTAAGTGGTGGCATTTTTGATTTTTCTTACAGCATGCACATCCAGAGAGTCCACGGTAAGGTCATAGGGATCCTTATTGAGACTGTGGAAAACCTGCTGGAGGGTTATCTTTTGTCCAGCATTTTCCAACACCACACGGTTGGCATCGGCCTTATATGTTTCCTGAATGAAGGTCAGCAGGTGTTTCTGGGACATGCAGGCGGCGGCATGAATGTGTGTGTCCACCTGAGAGAAAGGAACGAAAGAGAATGAAATGTGTGCTGGACGGACAACTTCAGTGTTCACTACACACAACAGTTAAAGGCAGTAGTGAGAACATGAAAACATGTTGAGGTGTATTATTCGCAGTAATCTAACCTTCCTAACATTGTAGAAATCTCTGTGAGGCACACATTTCAGCTCCTTTAGCTCGGCAATCTCATTGAGCATCTCATGGAGGTAGAACTTTGAACTCAAAAAGTTGAGTCGTCGGTGGCAGTACGTCTTCCTGAAAATCAGAGCGCGAGACATTAAACTGGTCCGATTTGTGTAACTTCACGCAATTGCGGCAACAACCAGTTTTCCAACCAGGGCTGTTTATTCGACCGGCATAGCGGCTGTGTCGATTTGTTTTGGCAACTCACGTCGGCCCGTCTGCAATCATTGCCAGCACATGACTGAAGTCGACGGCAAAGGTCTCAAAGTCTGGGTAAGGAAGGTCATGAGGCTGGTTTTCCCTCAGAGCTTCTGCATTGTCATACACGTACACTATCCCATCCTTCATCTTCAGCTCATAGTTCAGATCCTCCGGGATGTTGTGGGTGCTGTAGGGATCTTCTCCACCGGTTGGACACGGGCACATATCTGGAGACCACCGCATTATTCTGTTACCCTCATACAAACCAGAATAAAACAACAGTGAGAGTATCACAGTGATGTTTATATATGCACTTCAAACCTGGAAGAACTTCATCTTCTTCCCTCCATGTCATGTTCTCAGCGCTGCGGAGGAACTGGGCTGTTGTTCGGCAAAACCGATGATAGGCTAGCTTTGAGTATTTCTCGCGAATAAGCAGAGCCTTTAACAGACTTTTGGCTGAATGTTCATAGTCCTCCACTGTGATCTAAATGGAGAATAAACATGAATCATTGCAATCCGGCCAAAGTTTTTCAATATTCTGTCACCACGACACCATAAGATGGGAGCAGTAAATACACAATTTGTTTAGCAAAATGATCACTTTCTCACACATTTATGTTTACAGTACTCACTCCAGCACAGTAATCACCACTAATAGTGACCCTCTGGTAATCGGGGCAGTTTTCTGGCACTGATGAGCAGGTGGAGCTGGGGGACAGGTACGGCGTGACTGCCACTGGCCGGCTACAATCCGCGTTCACTGGCATTTGCAGCAACATTGAATGGGAACGAATCATCTTCAAGCTTTTTTTCCTGCAACATTAGAAATTAAATGAATACAAGCTACCGTTTCATTTATGATATCAATCTGAGTGACAAGATGTCATTT